CTATACTATGTCCTAGAATTCTTCAAGTCCGACAAACTAACCATGCTCTACCTACACCGGCTCCTTATTGTTTTGCCTTCGTTTACAGTGCAGCTGGACATGGTTGATGCAACCATGCCCACCTCACAGTCCCCGCTGCCAACAAAACCACCTGCACCTTCTTCAGCCTCTCCGGATGCCGCCTCCACAGCTTCCCCGAAGACTGCAACTGCCGCGGATATTGTCCCGGTTAGTGCGCGTAATGGGTCTACGCCCAGTACCACCACTACTACCACTACCACCGCTACCACCGCCACCACCACTACGCCAGGCAAGTCGAAGGAGAGGACAGAAGCTGGCGCTACATACACGTCTCCGAGACCCCAAAAACCCATTCGACCTCTGGTTGCGCGCCAGCCCAATTTGTGAGTTTTCAGGCCTTCGGTGAGGGCTGTTTCATTGTCTGCCTCCTTGACGTAAAACCAACACACCCTCACCGTTGAGTGGCGTTGTTAAACCTTGATGCTTCAGCATAGGGTTAGAACCTAGGGCTGGCAACAGCTGGCATATGGCACGTCAAATTTTTGTTCATAGCGCAAATCGCGAAAGAATAAATATTTACGGACGTTGTCAGACTTTGGGGTCTCTTGTTCGGCTGCCGTCGCTCTCTACCCGATTGACTTCCAGTGGGAGCGAAGATCGGTCTACTACATCCATCTGAAGTCGCACATTCCGGCAAAATCTCATCGGCAAATGCAGGCGCAGTCAAGTTAAAGGGCTGCACAACCCGAAAATATTTTATTTATCATTGGGTTTTACTATGCCGATAGTCCAGTCCAGAACAAGTCCAACCTATTGGGTAAGTAGAGCTTCCTGGACATTCGTCACGCCACTGAATACTGCTTCCTTCTCAGTGTTCGCCGTGTTATAAAGGCCGTTTCAAATATCACCTCATAAGAAGAAGGGACATTCACCATGCTTCCGATAGCCGCATTTGAGACTCCAAACATCTCCGAATGAATGACTCTCTGACTGTTACGGTTTC